ATCTTATTGCATCATTGGCTGAAGTGGTGAACGAAGAAATGGCGTCCGTATTCCCGAAAGTAATTGAACGTATGTTCGACTCTATACTCTCCACCGAGGAAGTAGTGCCCGAATTCAAGGATGACGATGACGTGCCAGCACCAGCTGAAGAGGCCGATGAAAATGAGGATGATATTGATATTGAGAACTCCGACGACGAGGATGATTTGGATAATATTGCGGGTTATAGTGTTGAAAATTCCTATTTGGACGAGAAAGAGGAGGCCATATTGGCGTTGAAGGAATTCGCTGAACATACCGGAGCCGCTTTCATTCCATACTTGGAGAAATCATATCAAAATGTATACAAGATGATCGATCATCCACAGGAAGATATACGTAAAGTTTCAATTGACGCGTTGTGCACATTTGTTGTTGCGCTCTTCAAGCAACAAAACTTGCAGGGTGTGTCCAGTGCCATTACAATCTTGTTACCAAAATTGGGACAAATCGTACATGATGATGAAGAAGTATCGGTTGTATTGTCAGCGCTTGAAGGTTTGGCTGATCTCTTGAAAGAGTTGAAGCAAGTGGCCTTGCCGAGCGTTGAGCTGCGCGATGTTCTTTTCTTATGCATTACCGATGTGTTGCAGGGCAAGGTAGCATGCCAATTCGATGAATCGACTGGCGATGATGATGAGGATGCCGAGGAGAGCGAATATGATGAAGCGATTGTTGAAGGTGCTGGCAACATGTTGCCGTTGTTGGGTGCAGCAATGACTCCCGACCAATTTAGACCATATTTCGAGCGCGCATACCCGATTATTTTGCAGAAATTGGTATGTAAAATGAACGAAAGAGTGTAATTTATTGAAGTGTATTAATGAGTACAAATTTGTTTACCTACAGCAAAAGGCAAAGAAAAACGAAGACCTTGAATCACAGCGCGCTTTCGCTTACGGTGCTTTGGCAGAGTGTTTCGCACCCTTACAAAACCACACTGGCGCATTCTTCAACACTTTCTGTCCAATTATGATCGCTGGACTTTCAGATGACTTTGATCAAGCACGCCAAAACGCGGTATATGGCTTGGGTGAATTAGTACTATACTCTGAGGATAAATCATACGAGTAAGTTGAAGACGAAAAACATTGTTTTCTTCGATCGTATATTAACTGAATATTTAATATCTTATCTTTCACAGAGCTTATCCTCACATTTTAAATGCCCTCTCTCAGGCCGTTGCCAAAGAAACAAAGCCAAGTTCTTTGGATAATATTTGTGGCGCTATTGCACGCTTGATTATCATTAACAGTTCGTTGGTGCCGCTGATTCAAGTGTTACCCGTTTTCATGCAACACTTGCCGCTACGCGAAGATTTCGATGAAAATGCTTCCATCTTTAAATGCTTGAAACAATTGTATCTGCAGGACCGTGATGCTATCGCTGGCTCATTGGAACAAATTATAGCTATTGCCATACATGTGCTCTACAAAAAAGAATACACAGAGAAGGAAACATACGACACAGCGTTGGGATTGTTGCAAGAAATTCGTGAAAATTACCCCGATAAATTCAGTGTAGTTGCAAATTCGAATCCGGAAATTATTGCCTTCTTGCAAACTTTGTAAACTTACATATGTGAGCAGCAATTGAAAATCAACTTAAATTTGAGTTCATGTATTTCAGCTAGTTTTAGAGTTTATATATATTTTTTTTTTAATGAAAAAATCCACGAAATGAGAAAAGTAGTTTTCAACGGCACCCACCCCACTGACAAATGCTATATGTGAAATCTACCATTTTAACCTAATTGTTTAATGCTATTTTTCCCTTTTGGGGTGTAAAAAAAGACTTAAGACTGTGCGCATTATTTTTTTCTCCACAACAAACATGCAAAAACAAGCGAACTGCAATAGTGCAATTTGGAAAAATTCTTAATCAGGGACTGTAATGCGAAAACGAGTATGTATTTAATACTATATGAATGAATATGAAATATCAAAAAAAATATATATATATATTTGTTATTTAAGAATAATATACGCTTTGAAACCTTTTATTTCAAACTCTGTTGAAAGGATGCTTTTTGCGAGAATAACGTAAACTTTGATGCCACAAAGAACTTAATTTTCATAATTCAGTCCCTGTGTCAAACTAATGAGTATATAAAAATTTCTTATGCATGTTTTGGAACAATTATCCTAATTAATATTTTATTTTTCTAGTTGTACATCGAGAAACAAACCGAGTATCTAATGAAGTTAGGAGCGCATGCGCCCTAGTGCGAAATTTTTAATTATTTAGTTATATAGCTTTTGTTGAAATTAAAATTATGAAATCTTCTCAAGTTCAGTACCTTTCTATTTCTGAAAGAAAGTGCGTAAACAACTTGTGAATTAATTTTTCAGCTATGTTTGAAAAACGAATGAGCTAAATTCCTACTTATCAACTGTTAAATAGGCAACGTAAAAATTTTAAACAACAAATTCGATATTTATTTAAGAAATTCCTTAATAACTACTGTCCAGCAAAAACAATTATTTACTCAATAAACAAACAAACAACTTCATCTAATGAAAACAAAAATGTTACGAGTTCAGTGCATGCATATACTTGTATACTCCAATGTCATACGTCCGAAAGTAGACACAACAAAAAGAATACCATTTTCATTATTTAATTTTTTAACAAACAAATTCAATTTTATAAAAGATAATAAACAATGAGAAATAAAAAATGCCTTAGATTTAAATGTAGTTTTGTATATTTAAGATATACACGTGGAGAAGCTTCCCGTAGAAAAAATTTCATCTCCAAATTTCCACTAAGAAAAACAATCATAAGTGAAATTGTGTTTTTTTCGCAGCGTTCATTTTCAAACGCTCTAAGTTTAACTCAAAACCTGCGTATGTATAGTATCTACATATATGCAAAATCTTCGTGGCCACCACACTTTTGAAGTTGGTGGTCTTTTAATCTCCAAGTGAATATATAAAGGCTGTGATATAAACTCTGTGTGTCAAGTTGTTATAAAAAACTAAAAACGAAAAATCTAAGCAGTAATAAGCCAACGTTTTCCTCACCCTAGTCGGGCTTGTGACCATATGTATGTACATCACAACACTCATAAATTCAAAGGCAGCAAGCAGAGAAAGCTTAACATCCAAAAATTCCCAAATCTTTTTTATTTTGTCCTGGCTAATGCTTTACTTTTCTTACTGGTCAAAAAATTAAAAAAATCCTATAGTTTCTGCCAATGCATTTCCGTGTAAACAAAAAATCAGGCGTTAGGCATTTCCAACTTCATATATTCGTATATAAATGTCTAATTGTTGATGTCTCTACGTGTTCCATATTTATTTATACTTAATTTTTGTGTGCATTTTTTTTTTGTATTTGCTTGACCAATAGCCACCACCTCCAACCAGTTCAACAATAGCTACAAGCCACTGCAGCTCCCTCTCCGCTACACAGCCAATTAAATTTTGGTTTTGGTGTACATCTTGATTTTTGCTGTGTTTTAGCGTATATTTGCTCTTTAATAGGTCTCTCCTTTTTTGTTTATGAGAAAGTAAAGCATTGCCAACGCGCGAACTTAAATTTTATTTTTAATGTTTTTTTGTACTAAAAGCTTCATAAATTTCTTATTTTCATCATTACATTTTAATATGTACTACACAGCATTGAATTTAGTAATAAAAATTATAATTATTAATTATTGCGTATTAGCAATGTATAAACAAATGGTATTTTGCTTATTTGTACTCATCAAATAAAAGAAATTGTAGCTTTCAATACCTTTTATTTTTAATTAAAATGCTTAAACTTTTATGTATAAAAAAAAAATTTTGGTATGAAAATTGAATATCTATAAGAGGCAGCAACTTTGGAACAACGAAATAAAGGCATATTTAAAACTGAAAAAGGAAATTTGGAAACTTTAAAAACTTGTTACTTGTACTTAAAAGTCAGTATTTTACAGGAACAAAGATGCAAACTTATAATGGTTCATCTATTTCGCGCTTGAGAAAGTAAGATCCTACTACATATTTAACATTACGTCATCCAAACGTGAAATCGTGATTTTTACAAAATGCGTCTTCAACAAAATCAATCGTCGATGGGGGTTTTTCAACAAGGCCGTGCGATTTGACGCCTTTGGGCTTCCTTTTTATGGGATTATGCATAAGTACATGTTCAGGAGTAGAAACTTTGGAGCCAGAGCATTCCCACGACTACCGGTTCCACGCGCTAGAAAAAGTCGGGCTTACCCGAACAAGGCGATCTAACCTGTAATCGTCGTTCCCGCGACAGTCGGGTCTACGTAACCGGAAAGACCCAGATTTATATCTGGCCGAGGACTCTCACTCCAGCCACACTCCCCACAAACTCCTTGGGGAATTTATATGCTTTTACAACAACAACAACCCTGTAATCGGTGTGCGTCTCTGGAGCAACACTCAGCAGCTACCGCACCCTCTTGCTCCACCAGCTTTCACGGTCTCCAACATTGCAAACAAACACCAAAGAAGCAACGCTCTATCGATAGGCTTATCTACGTAACCGGAACGACCCAGATTTATATCTGGCTAAAGATTGTCACGCCAGCGTCATTACCCAAAAACCCTTCTTGGGGAATTTGTATGTTGTTACAACAACAACCAAAGAAACAACAACTCCCCCGCCTTTCTGGCCCTCCCCACCGTGATTCCGCTTCATGTTTCATGCGATGGTTAACCAGCAGCACCTGTCTGCTCCATGTTAGAATAGAATATATCGAAATTTGGCATAGGTGAAATGCAATTCCAGCCTTGACTAGCGCCACTTCTGACTCTAGTCTGTCCTGAGCACCACCCGTGAGTTGATAAGTGACTACCTCGCCCTGAAACTAAGTTGCACAGTCCTACAATGTGCTCTGCAAAGATCGCTTGCATCATACCATCTACTATAGTCAACCCGTGCTTGCTTCCGTGGATCACCTACCTACATATATTAACTTAAAAAAAGCTTTTCTCATATTAATATGTAAATTGTTTGTAAGCCACTTTATTTTTGTATTTCTTTATGTTTTCCAGCGCTCGCATTAAACTTCTTACGCTTAATCAATTTATCTTTTTGATTGTTTTTCTGGTGCTTTTTGGGTTCTTGATTATCGCCTTCAATATCCCTAACCTGCATCGTAGCCTGCAACTGCAATTTTTCCATAACCGACATTTTTGATGGATCTTTAGTTGCCAATTTTGCTTTATCCTTGGCGCGCTCTTTTCGCAATATTTCTGAGCGTTTGTCTTGTTCAAGCTTCTTACGCAGTGCCTGCAGCGCTAAAGTGTAGGCCTTGGCATATTCCGTCTCATGATCGCTGGTAACGGTAATTTCATTTGTTAACACTTTACCCACCTCGCCGAGAATGTGCTGTAATAGAATTGCATGCTAATTAACTCTGAAAAGGTAAACAATTTAAGTTTTTACATTGAATTGTAGCAGCTCCTTTTGGTTTAGTATTGTTATCGCTGTACCCAGACTACCCGCACGCGCTGTACGACCAATACGATGTATATAGGTTTTGATGTGTCGCGGTAAATCATAGGAAATGACTACATCTACATTGGCTAAATCAATACCACGAGCTAGGGCATCAGAGCATACAAGCCTAAAAATACATGAATAATCAACGTTTTTTATATTTTTTTCACAAAATTTTTAATTGTACATACCCATGCACGCGTCCACGTGCGAATTGACTTAAAACATTAGTTCTTTCCTTCGGGCTTATGGAAGCGCTCAAGTCACGTATGATCAGTTTTTCATTAAATAACGTATTTAAAACGAAAGCTAATCTATGGGAAAAAGAAGTTTTTAATGATAAATTGACCAGTCTTTTCCCCAATTTACCTGCTCGAGGCGTCAGCACTGTTCGTGAAACAAAGGAATTTTGTCCATTCATTTTCATTGATTAAGGCAAACAGCGTCAATGGTTTTATGCGATTCTCTGTGATACAATAGCGTTCCGTCAGCTCAGCTGGTGTTGTATATTTTCCTATGAATTCACCACTATTCAGTTGATTATCTTGCTGTTCATTGTTTATTGCATCTGCGAACTTCTCTTGCAATTCTGCCAAGTTAGCAAGCACCGATGTGAATAATTTTGGTTGGAACAATCTTAAGTTCTGTAATTTTTCCGGATCTTGCGAAAGCGTAGCCGAAAATAACAACTTATGCGGTTGTGTGGCGCAACTTATTTCTAACTCGCGATAACAGAGAGGCGCGGCGCGTCCGGACAGTAACTGATCCGAAGTGGCACGCACATGTTCATCCAAATGATATAGCCAATTTTGAAAAACAGCGTCCATTATACGATCAGCTTCGTCAATAACAAGAAAACGTAAAGATTTTAAGCAAAAACCTCTAGTTGCATGTAGATGATCAACCAAGCGGCCTGGCGTCGTCACTAAAATATCTACTTTGGAGTAATATTTCCCCTTATAACATTCCACAAGTTTTTCTTGCTCCTGTGCAAATGGAAACTTTTTGGATAGTAAACAAACAGTTAAATCCGTTTTTTCACACAATTTCTTGAATACTTTGAAAACCTGTAACGCTAACTCGGCGACAGGGAGTACAATCAAAGCTCTTATTTTGCGTTCGACACGATCAGCTAATAACTGCACGACCGGTATCGCAAATGCTAAAGTCTTGCCACTACCTGTGGGCGCTGAAACGCATATGTCACGCGGCCGAAATGGTGGCGGTTTGGCGTGTGCTTCCAGCAACCAAGGTACGACTGCTGTTTGCACAGGAAATAGTCGTGTCATGTGCATTTCTTTGAGTGCGTGGCGTATATGCGGTGCCAAGTAGGTTAATTTGGTAATAACCGATTCGTCAGCCGCAGGTCCACTTTTCGGTGCTATGGCTGTTGAGATGACAGTGGGGTGCGCCAGCCAAGCAGGCAGCACCATATTAACTTTTTTTGGTTTGCTGGTGTCTACATCCTCGCCGAGGACTTGGAAATGAGTTGCTTCAACATCAGGCACAACACCGACAATGGGATCAACATCAGCCACAAATGAGACCGTTTCATCGGCGCTTGCGTTCTTAGCTTCGTTGACATCAGCACTAGTTGGTTGAACTTTCGTTTCATTTTGTTTAGACTCCACATCCAGCAGCTCGACTGTGCTCTTTTTCCTTTTTCGTTTTTCTACTTTTTGGAGAATCTTCTGCAGAATTGCATCCTCGTTTTTTGTAGCTTCGTCAGTTTTTTCGCCATTGTAACTGAAATTATATAATTATGCAAATATAAAACTTATTTATATCCGGGAATGTATAATTTACCGATTTATAGTAAATAACTCCATCTTTCCACACAAACCAACACCTAGCAACAAAAGATAAAAATTAATCAAAATCATCAGGTCCGGTCCAAGATGTCAGTTCAAAATGGAATGTCAAACTTGCTGGAATTTTTTTCTGGAATGCATGACCGGAAATCAATGGAATGCACTACCGGAAGTACAGGGTGATATTTCGAAATATTTTAAATATATAAAAATATAACTCAATTCAAACAAAAATAAAATTTTTTTGTAATTTGCAGACGATACCCTATTAAGAAATCTTGTACACCAGCTTCATATACATGAACAAGATCACGCAAGAACGCGGCGTTGTATTTGTGACTGGTTTTGAGAAAAAAACTCGTGGAGAGTTAATTCAACATGACAACATCTTTTAAAAGATTTTTATGAATAATTTTTATCTAAATTGGATGTTTAAAGTTGCTGAAAAACTTTTGGTTAATTTTGTTTTTCGCCGTTGTCTTTGCCTTGTTTATTTTTCGTTCGTTTTCCAGCGAAACAAGATGGCGTAGAACCCGCTCAAAAAATCGACTTTTTTCATTTTCTTGTTCCTGCGTGATCTTGCTTCATATATTTGCAATTTTATAATACTTTTTTATAAATTTGATATCGAAAAATATTGATTTTTAATAATTTTATTCCATATCTACGAAAAGTTGTTTTCTCCCCAAATAAAAATATATGAAAAGCTTTGAGCGCTTTGCGCGACCTCTAATTATATTTGTATTCAAAATAAAAACATAGGGGTATACTTTTTTCGGTATAGAACATGCATTTTTGGACCCAGATTTGTGTATAGATACATTACTATACACAAATCTGTGATCGTTCAACAAAATCCCCTAGTCGACATTAAAACAAATAGTTCTTGGGAATAGGTAATTAATATTTCTAATTTACTTTTTTGTTGTGGAATGTAAACCGCTTACAACATTTTTTTGGAAAAAATATTTTTACAAACTTATTTTATTTATATAGAAGTTAATAGTAAAAAGAAATATTTTTAAAGCAAGCTTTAGTAAAGTTATTCCTTTTCATGTAATTAATATACGTTCTAAATATGAACGAAATCGGATTAGAAATACGGGGTTTTCAAATATCTCGACTCCGGCACTATCTATCGGATTCACTCATCTTTCAGATTGCATTGTCATCGGATTCTGCGCCAACTGTGAAGCTCATTATATCTAAGATATCTCAGATATACTGAGCTGTGAAGTTTCAAGTCTCTAGGTCATCGAGAAGTTGGTCAAAAATTGATTTCCAGATTTGCCCCTAACAAACATCATACAGAGCAGGTTAAATAAAAGCTTGTAAAAACTGGATTTTTTGAGATATTTTTAAATTGGTAAAGCTCATGTAAATCTTAATATTTTCTGCATTTTTTTGGCGCAAGTCTTAAAATATAATACATTTCAAATGTAATTTCGATGGAAAAGCCGTTATTATTTACATGGAAAATGATGCACCCTAATGTACATAGTTAGTTAAACATGTCTTAAAATCGGTTAGCCAATTCAGGCAGGCATAGCAATTCACTTTCGTGTGAATTTAAATCGAATTCGATTTGGATCCGGCATTCGGTGTTCTGCGTTTTAATTTCCTCATTATATTTCCAGTTTGTTTTTTATGAATAAATTCCAAATAACGAACTTTCGACATATTCTTCTGTTCGGCCTTAATTTTCCATGAAAATAGCTGTAAAAATTGTTAAAGCGCTAATTTTCAAATTTTATTTTCGCGAAAATGTATTTGCTTTGCTTGAATTCCTTGAAGTTCATTTTTGTGGTGAATAAAAAAACTTACCAGATTCTCTCGATGTCTCCATATGCTATTGCGTATACGCCACGTTAACCCATTGCCTATGTCAGTTTCATTAAAACCCAGTATGAAGATATTATTTGACATACTTTGTTTATAGTCTAAAAATAATTGTTAGTAGCGGCGTACTGGAGGTAAATTAATTTTGAAGCAAAAAAATAATCTCCTCGAGACAAGAACATCGATATATCATACTTTGAGATTCGACTGTAAATGTCGAAGATATGATTGGCGCTGTGAAAAAATGTCAAAAATAAAATTAGCAACACCTTCACAAAAAAAAATAAAAAATTACTAAAAATCAATCAAATCAAAAATATTAGCTACTTTAAGTTTGCACTTTGAATTGAATGGGTTACAAAACCGCATACTCAGAATGTTTCTAAGAAATCTAATTAAAGATCTCAAAATTTTGGTGAAATTCTGTGGAATTTTGCTTATTTTTGTACAAAGTTTAAAATTTTAACTTACATGGTCTTTGTTTGATAACGAGCTATACTTTCATAAAAAATAATAAACTTTAAATAATCGCCAAAGAATGCTAAAATGTCTCTTCCCTATTTATATTTTTGCCATTGTATTTACAACTTATATTTTTCATATCCACGGTTTTTTTATGAGGGAAGTATTTTTTATTTTTTAAAATTTCAAGTTAGAATCGTTTCATAAAAAAAAAATAAAAGAACTTAACAGATAATTATATCAGTAATTTTTAAGCAAAAAACCAAACCGACTTCAATTCTCATATAAAAATTTAAGAGTACCGTTAATTTCTTAATGATTCAAATATCGGACCTGAGGTAAAAATTATGCCTAAAAATATGCGGTAACATAGATAAATAAAATATTCCGACGAATTGGTAACCTCCTTTTTTGAAATCGGTTAAAAAACCTTAAAAAAATGTAAAGAAGAATATGCAGAATAAAACGTAAACAAAGATCATAGAAAATTAGGCTATTTTATGATCCACTTACATTCTACGTCCTTTGTGATAACAAAAGTGCTGGCACGTTTGTACGAAAAATTGTTTTTGGACAAGAGTACAGGGAGATTCTTATTAAATTAATAAAGAATACACTGAAAATCGGGACTTAATCGGTATAAATATGAAAAATCGGCGGGACAATTTTCTCAAAATCGGTACTGTCCCGCCAAAATCGGTACGAATGGTCACCGTATCCATACGTCACATAGCTTTGTGAAAATATGTTCATCATTATCTCAGGCTTCTTTTACCCGATTGCAGCGTAGCCCTGTAGGCGGCATCCTTTTCCTCTGCAGCTATTTAAATATCCTTATACAAAAATTATTCTCAATACACTTTTCTTCTGCACTTCAGAGATTCTTTTTCCTCTTCAGGGCAAATAAAATAAAGGTCGAAATTTTATATTATCATTTTGATGTTATGTCTGATCGAACTCGAATATGAGACCACCTACAAAAGAACATGTAAACAAATAAGGAAATATGTAATGTTAAATGAAATAAGTAAGTAAATAAATAAAAAAATTAAAAATTAAAAAAAATCTTTAGTTGACATCCAATGCAGATAAAGCCAGTTCTCACTATTTTGCGGCCATCGCCCTTCAAAAGTAGTTAGTTACGGCCAAAGGAAATAGTTAATAAATAGTTATCACTAGTCGACAGATAGTTAGTTAATAGTTAGCTACAAACTAGTCCCATTTCCTGCAGGGATCCTCCTACTAAGTAATAAAGAAGAAACAAATGAGGGTATGAATGCATATACACACATACATATCGAGCCCTAACCGCCAAAAAAGACGTAAGCGTTCCACTAAAAAAGACGTAAGCGACATTTTTCTCAAAATTTTATTTTTGATACAGAAATACATCTACATACATACATAGACAGCCTAGGAATATTCCAGCGTCAAAACGAAAATTTTGGAAAAAATGTCGCTTACATCTTTTTGTCGGTTAAGGCTCGATATGTATGTATGTGTTTATGTATGCACGCAAAACGACATTGAAACATACCATATTCTTTTGCTCCAAAATCAATTGGGCTTAATCATATGCAATCTTCATTTGCTGGGGTTTTTTGTCAGTTGGTAAGGGAATTCCCCCTAGCACTACAAATATACGCACACATACATACATATGTATGTACAGTGGCGGTCAAAAGTTTTTGAATGGCGTTTCGTATATTTACAATGTTTTTTAAAATAATTTTTTTTTATATATATTTTTATAAAAATATGGTTCATGCTTTAACGAAAACCATATAACTTGATACAGAATTTATTAAACTTGCACAGATATTTATCTAAATTTCCAGCTTTTTAAACAGCATTTTTATAAACTTTTTGGGCATGTAGTTAACAGGATTATAAAATTTTGTAGAAAATGCAAAACGCCATCGAAAAAAAATATTAAAAATCAATGCAAGTTTTTAGCCGCTCAAAACTTGCACTTATTTTACTAAAATTTGATAAGCCTTTTTTGGTTAAAAAGCTCGAAATTTAGATAAAAATCTGTTGAATTTTTCTAAGTTCTGTAATTAATGAAGGAGTGATTTATATGGTTTTTGTTAAAGCATGAACCATATTTTTATAAAAAAATATAAAAAATTTTAGTTTGAAAAACATTGTAAATATTAAAAACGAAACATCTTTTATCCACTTTTGACTGCCACTGTAAGTATACACAATTAATAAATTAATAAAGAGTGCATGCGGTCACAATTTTCCGCTGGGTTATTCAGAATATCGACAACTAGTTTTTGCATCAACTCAGCCATAAAACTATAACATAATTTAAAACGAATATGTATTTAATTTGTTTAAGTGCGTCACCGCCATTCTCCAATGAATAAGTGTGCATACATACATATGTACATACATTAGACCGTATCAGAAAAAAAGTGCACCTTCGAATCAAAGTACCATGTAGGTGAAGATGCAGTATAATGTTTAAGGGAATGTGAGATCTGAAAGACATCGATTACCCATAGCTAATATTGCAAAAAAAGTCAATGGCATGCGACATTCTCGATTTAGAACTAAGGTAAACTAAATGGCGGGGCAAATAACTAAATTTTTTAACATTCAGTACAGACATATGTATCAGGGTGGCCCTTAAAATATTAACACCTAAATTTTGTATGGGACACCCTTATTTTGTTCTATGTGCAAAATAAAGACATCTATCAACATTTTTAAATATAAAAAAAAATTGAGAAGTCGCATCAGGGCT